CTACCTAAATATTCGATTTAGTCGATTCGTGATATACAAGAGCGATCGTTAAACGACACTTATTTAGATATTAAATCTGCAAAATGAGTCTACCAGAAAAGTTGTAAGCGTTCAAAGTTTGCATGGATAAAGCACAGAGAGATAGTGCCAGTTGATAAGCGCAGTTGCCTCATGTTCACAAGGGTGCCCGCGGCGTAGTGGAAGTGCTGTCACTCTCCAGGTGAGCGATGAGGGTTTGTTCCCCGTTGTTGTTTTCGCTTTTGCAAAACGTGCTTTCATCCGAATAAAGGCTCCTAACCACTTTCTTCTCACTAATTTGTGTTAGCATTTTTATTCGGCCACCATTTGCGATCACCTAACTATCACCTATCACCGCACTTATTCGAAATTTCTTGAGGTAGAGGGGGAACCCGAATCTCTTAGAACAGATATGCGTTAAAACTGTGCATTGAAAAAATACAAAAATAAATACAAATGCACAAAATACGAAGCTCATGTGTACCTGCTGTCTTCTACAATCGTAAAAACACACAATCGATTCGTCATCAAAAAAAAAATAAACGTTTTCTCTACCTATTTTTTGGGTTGTTTCTGTAGGGGGGTGAAGCGATGATTTAGGTGATGGACTGCTGCGATCATGAAGCAGTGGTGGAATGAAGGATAATTAGAAGACGATGATAATAAACAGTTCTACACCAGTTCGTCTACCTCACAAGTGTTTCATTGCTGTTGAGTTTTCTGAGACTATTTCACGTTAGTTCACGTTGAGTGTTGGTATGTGTGTTTCGGTGTTGAAAATAAAAGAGCGTTACAAAAATGGCGTTGACATATTCTAAAATATATAAGTGCAGTGATAGGTGATAGATAGGTGATCGCAAATGATAGCCGAAACAATGCGTTAACTTAAATAAGTAAGAAAACCGGTCAAGGAGTTTCCGGAGGAGAGCACGTTCTGCAAAAGCGACAACGATAACGGGGAGCACACCCTCATCGCTCACCTGGAGAGGGAGAGCACTTCCACTACGCCACGGGGATCCTTATGGGCATTGCGGCAACTGTGCTTATCAACTGGCACTATCTCTCCGTGCTTCACCATGCAAACTTCGAACACTCACAACTTTTTTGGTAGACTCATTTTGCAGTTTTAATATCTAAATACGTTGAAGGCTTTCCAAGCCCTATCGATATATCTAGGTCTCTGTTCAAAGTTCCATGAGAAGTTGAAACCCTTCCCTATCAAGAACATCGCATGTTAGAATTTTCAGATTTTAAAAACTGAGAAACGTCCATGGGAGTTATGCCGTTCGAAATGCTCTATGGCATCCTTGAGAAGGAGTACAATCGGCTCGTTCAAAATTTTCACGTCTCTCTTCGGAATTTTTCAAGCTACGGTACTCACGTGGGATTGAGTGAGCTGTAGGCAGATTGCAAAATTATTGTGAGAAGTCACAGAAGGAACAGTACGAGGAGCAGCAACACGTCTGCCTAAACTTGCCAATTATCAAGTTACTGACCTACTTAGACAATCATTGCAGGTTTTCCTTTCATTTTGTAAAGTTTGTGCGGATTAGTCGCTATTCCCTAAAAAGCAATGGCGCGGGCTTTTCGAAATCTTCTCAAAGATTTTCTACGGCTATGTTTGTCTGTGCATCCCTCATTTGAGGCAAGATAGCAGTCGTCCCATCAGCTTTTCATTCCGAAGTCTGGGGCGTTTCCTTACATTCGAATTATTGCTATGCATTCGATCCCGACTAGGCAAGAATGCTTAAAGAGTCTTCCTAATTAGGAATAAATCTCTGGGGAGAATTCCCAATTAGTATCTATCCGAACTCAAGATACCCACACTTAGAAAACTCTGGGGCTGTGCTTGGGTGTAAAAAGTAGGGTGCAGGCGACATCACGAGCATCAATCGACATGCATGTGATTTGAGAGCCTCTCATTTGAGAATATTCAGAAAGAATGACAGAATGACATGAGGACAGCCACGAAGGCGAGCAGGGTCCAGAGGAAGGCTGCATGATAGATCACAACCACCCTGACAAGAGACCCATCGAAGATCGCAATAATAGGATGCCGTTAAGTGGTAAAGTCACAGACTTGAAGAAGGTTTTGATTTTGTTGAGAATAATGCGATTATACATTGAATGCACTTTGCGAGCTCTACAAGAATTTGTTAGCGAAGTAGCCATCACTCTATACAGAGAACATCACTTTGTATGGAGAACAGAGTTCTAAAAAGAGAGATAATCTCGTTCAACTTCTAGGGGCCTTATCGAAAAGCCATACTCAAATTGGATTGCAAAAGCAAGGAATTAAATGTTGCGGCCGCTTTGTAAACGACCTCATGCCTACGCCTACTACATCGAAAATCGAGCAGGCGATACGAGTGCGGCTCATTTCGACCGGCTTGTGGGCAGTTCGTTCTGCAGCTGAATCCAACGAAACTCAAGAGAAAGGTATTCGTCTCCAATGTTCCATTTACTTTCAACAAATATCAAATATGTATCTGGGTTAGAACTTTAATACGATGGTCTCGGACTGAAGCTGAGCGGAAAGAAGAGAGAGATATGAAGAGCACATGGGAGCATGTAGAAAAAAGCGAGAATCAAAGAAAATCTGCTTTGACTTTTCGATTTTGCACGGGTACTTAGAGGAAGCAGAATAAGCACGTAGCAGCACCATTCTTTGCGCTGTGAAAAGAAACATTGACGAGATTAGCCGGCACACATCATTGTAGTCAGTCTGGAATTCTAAGTCACATCAATGAGCAAAGATTGTTTGGAGACACTACCGAAAAAGACCAAGAATGAGGAATCAGATGTTAAACACACGTTGTGCGATTTTTTGACAGCTGGTGGACCAGGGCGGCTGTCATATAGAGCACTCATAATGTCAAGGGAACACCCGCAGTGTTATCGATCGAATGATATAATCAGCCTCCTTCAATATGATTCCGAGCGAACAGAAAATGGAATGGTGTTCCTAGTCTCTCAAGTTGTAGTGGAGGAAACTACTCTACGCTGGAATAAGCTGACTTGCAAGAGGAACCGATGAAAACGTTCCCGAAACTCGCTTAAGACGAAAAGATGATCGATGATCACTGGAACAACACGACCTTGAAGCTTCCCGCTTGAAAATGTGTAAAAAGTGTTGACACTCCGCCTTTGAGTCTATACTGATAAGAGTGCTGCTGAGAATGTTTTATCGTTTGCTGAGCTGCTTTTAAATCGCCAAATTTCCAGATTAGCGATGATTAAGTTGAATAGGTTGGAACAAAGGCAAAGAATGATTTTCTTTCTTAAGAATTGAATGATGACATGAAAGAAAGCGAAGGTCCTAGAATCGGTTGGATTATACATAGACAAAAATTATTTTTAGCCAATTTTGAACTACCGTAAGCGATTTAGTACGGTGTTCAACATAAATAAGGAGATACCAAGGAAAAATGGAATACATCAAGTTCATCAAAACAATATTCTACGACAAGTGCGAAAGAGGAACTCAAAAAACGATGCAAGAGCTTTTTCTCGTGTGGTTCCACTTTCTACAGAAGAATTAAGCCAGAGGAGGGTAACGAATGCTCGCCCTCAAGTGATAGCTGCCATGAAGATATTTTGTTAAGAAGTACCTCAAAGGTGAGTGAAATTTAAATTAAATTAAAATTATTTGACCTGGACAACAGCAAGCGGTAAAGGAATAAAACTTTGGGACATCTGCGAAACTTGGAGGCAGCTGAACAGTTCTTGATATATTGTAAATGTTCACAGCGTCAGGTGTTCATAGTGCTGTGACGCTTCAATCAATATTTGAATGAGGCACTGGGAATTGATAGAGCAGTAATTACAAAAGGTAACTAATAATTAATACAGGTGTAGAAGTTATAATGAATGCCTCTCAGGCAAAACGAATCAAGACAAGCAGAAGAACTGTCCAACCAAAAGATTTCTACATTCCCTGTCCTATGTATATATTTAGAAAAAATCTGAAATCAAAGAACTCTAGTGAAATTGCTATGACACCGCACGGTTTCATACCCTCTTGTTCTTGTATATAGACCCCATCCATCTTGCCGACCACATCTGGAGATCCTGGTTCGCTTATGATAACCTAAACAAAGGCTCATCAGAAATTCGAATTGTAGACTTAAAATAATGTTTCAAAATGAACTATTGAAAGCATTCTCAGAAGAAAGAAATAATCTCAATATGTGAATAGGAAGCCTGAGAAACACATGGAGACTTCTCAAAACAAATTTTGTGACAAGAGAATCACGGGCACACACAGAAGTTCATCAATAGAACTGGTTCTTACTATCGCCGGAATATTATATTTAAAAGCTGGTTAGGAAAGATGAACTTAGCACTGTCTTGGCAACCTTGTGCGGACAGAACAGCGAATGATATTAGGCTACGCATCTAAGCACAGAAGTTTGCCACGTGCTTTGGAAACCATGAGCTACACGACTGTCAGCAGAAATCGACAAGCTTCGGGATTTTTCAGACCATGGGTGCATACAAGGCTCTAGGAAATATATATACATATATATGTATATATATTTATACATACGTATATATGTGGCGGAGGTGTGGCGAACTTCACACACGCAGGTCACGGTTTCGATTACCGGGCGATATCCGCCTAGGTTACCAATTCTTAGATTCTTCCGGGGCCGTTTGATAGACTCGTATGAGAGGATAAAAGCACTGACGTAAACATCAGCTTACCATGCAAGTCACTGTATAGGCCAGATACGCATTCATTACGCCACTAGAACTCTGAATGAAAGTTGCTAAGGCACATCCCTTAGACGGGATTGATTTACTCCTGAAGACTTCATCCTTTCATATATATATATATGTTATGAGAGTATTATAATATATAAATATATATTTCAGCAAGTGAAAGAAGGTGTGGATATTATTCTTGTAACCGCCATCGAATTTTTATGTCATGAGGGTATTATAATATACCTTTGAGCAACGCGGAAAAAAAACAGAAATGAGACTTTTCTTTTTACATTTCTTGTAGAACGGCCTACGAATTTCGTACTCGAAAACGTTTAGGCCAATGAGGATGACTTTTCATCTGACCCAGCTGATTCAACAGATTCCTGCTATAACAACAAAAAGAAACGGAAGCGCAACAGCATCAGTAATACAGCAAGGCAATGTATGGGCGAAGCTGGTGAGGTTCGATAGATCATTTTTCATTCAACATGTTCTCCTCACTCAGGCCAAATGTCTGAGTGAGGAGAACATGTTGAATGAAAAGTGTAATAAATAAACGATAAGCAGATGCAAAAACCGCGAAGTTTTCACTTGACCATGACATTCAGTAAATTCTTGGGGAAAGCTATCTAAAGTTCAGTTGATTCAATGCTCGTTTTGTATATATTGATGGGTTGCTGCCCATTAAATCAGTCCTCAATACTGGAAGGCTATATCTTTGCCGAGAAGTGGAAGAGTTGCAGTGACCAAAGCTCAGCTCGCCTCCGAAAGCACACCATAGCTCCGCTGATGCGGAGGAGGCGTTTGGGTCTGTAAAACTCAGTCACCTACGCTTAGTATACCCCTTATGTATTGTCCGAGGTAAAGAAGATTTTCCTGCCTTTTCTCTCAGTATTACGTTGGCTTCATTGAACCAATGGAAGCAGCGGATAATGTGCATCATTTCAAGAATTGCAGCTATCCAAAAACGTTATCTTTATTCCAATGTTTTTCCTCCTAAAACAGTGCACAAACAACTAGTCACCCTCTAAACTTCGATTGAATGAAAAAAGCTCAAAGTATGTCCAGCATCAAAATATAGTAATACACTGCGTTTCATAAATATAGAGCCATCCTAAATTTTTGTGATTCCAAATTTGCTGTGCATGTTGAGAAAATGCTGCTATCATCAGTAGATTGCTCATGTTGAAAAACCTTGGTAACGTTTTTCTGAGAAATTTTCTACTCCAAATAACCTAAATAACTTACCCTGAGCGAATTTTCTGTATACTATGAATACGGGTCCACTCTTAAAAAATTCCCGTTTCTTTTCTTCCATAAGGGAAAATTGGGATGCGGGGTCATACAGGAGATTGCTCGGTTTTGTGTAATTATGCCGCGTGCTACTCGTCTCTCTAACCAGAAACAAGCTCAAGTCAGAGCACTGTTTGAAGCCGGATGGTCGAAAAGGAGGATTGCCGCCCATATCGGCCGGTCACGCAACTGCGTTGACGAGTACCTGCGGAATCCTGATCAGTACGGAAAGAAGAATAGTCCAGGTCGACCATGGCTGCTTTTTGCCCGAAATGAAAGAACAATTGGACGTGTTTTGTCAAATTCAACGAAGAGCCTGAACAGGGTCCGCGCTGAAATGCGGCTTCTTGTGAGCAAAACCACTGTCTGGAGGGTAATCCAGCGGAGCGAAAGCATCACCAGAGAGATGATGAGGCGGGTCCCAAGTCTATCGGAACGACACAAAGTCGCACGCCTCCAATTCGCCATGAAAAATGCCTCATTCGATTGGACGAAGGTGCGCCTCTTTCGACACTTTGCAGTCTTTGACTCAATATCGTTATTTTACGGTTTAGGTAATCTGGAGCGACGAAAAGAAGTTCAATCTAGACGGACCTGACAGCAGAAGAGGGTATTGGAGGGATCTGCGCAATGCACCCTTGGTTTTGAAGCGACGTAATTTCGGTGGAGGATCTCTCATGGTTTGGGGCGCCTTTTGTGCGGCTGGACAGCTTGGACTTGCCTTTCGTATGCATTCCGTAGAATACCAGAGAGTGCTGGAGGAGCGACTTTTACCGACTTTCTCCGGCAACACCGTCGTCGTTCATTGATTTTTATGCACAATAACGCGGCTGTCCATGTCAGTCGTTCCACTTCGGATTGGATTGCAAGTAGAAACATCACAGTTCTCGAGTGGCCCGCATGTTTTCCAGACTTGAATCCAATGGAGAATGTCTGGGCCTTCATTGTCAAGAAGGTCTACGACGAAGCAAAACAGTGCAACACAGTCGAAGAGCTCAAACTGTTCGTCCTCGACGCTTGGACAAACTTAGACCCCAATTTGATAGCCAGCTTGGTTGAGAGCATGCCAAGACGCATTGGTGAAGTCCTTGCGAATAATGGAGGACCAACCCATTATTAAGAAGTTATAACATCCACTCCGTTGTAATAAATTTTCCCGTTAAAGAATGTGTAGTCATGCTCATGAAAAGGTGAGAATACCTTCAAGGGAAATTATTTCAACAATTCTAAAGTGAATTTTTTTCACAAAATCTGTACTAAGGCTTTCCGTTATGAGGAATCTATTGGTTATGGCAGGATTTCCCAGAAATGCGCTGCATGCTTGGAACTAGAGAAGTTTAGGGTGGCCCTATATTCATGAAACGCAGTGTATGCTAGACTACATGCAGGGTTAGTCCGGTAGATAAGAGTATAGGCTTACGTCTGCAACCGGAGAAGCGCGAGTTCGATCCCTGATGCGAGTAACCTAGTCACAATCATTATGCCTAAAGTCTCAAGAGGGATCGGTGATAGAGCTAAGGCGTCACCCGAAAGAGGCGCGCAGGACGGAAGAGGCGGAGCCCAAGTCATGTGGACAGTATGCGAGGGCTATCGAAGAGTGAACGTCTCGGCCAAAGAACTCAGTGACTCTGAACGTAAGATTGCTCAACAGGAACCCTCGAGAGGTTGGTGATCTAATGAAGCACAGGATTATCCATGTCCTATGCCTTCAGGAATCCCGCTGGAAAGGAGCGAAAGTCAGAGAAATCGGAGAGGGGGTCATGCTCTACTACAACGAAGAAGAAACCAAACGAAACGGTGTGGTCATTGCAGTAGCGGAGTTCCTGAAAGACTCTGTCTCCGCTATCAACAGGATTAACGATCGAATCATGGCTGTGAGTATAGGTACGAAAGAAGGGTACTGGACAGTAAATACGAACCGCAAACCGGATTTCCCAACTACAACGAATGATTTCTACCTGAGTTTTGTCTAGGCCATCAGATCAGTTCTGGACGGAGATATCTCATCATAGCGAGTGATCTGAATGGCCACGTCGGTGGTGAACGGAGTGGACTTGAAAGGGTTCCCTGTGGCAGAGTAGTTGGAGTCAGTAAAGGAGTTGGAGAAAATCCTTGACATAGTAACAGCCTCGACTCGGCAGCATCATCTTCGCGAAAATGAAAACTCAGAAGATAACCTACAGCGGTGGAAGGAAAGAAACAGAAGTAAACCGCGTAATTGTAACAAGTCATCACTCAAAGCTGTAAAAGACAAAAAAGACAAAAAGTGCTCCCTGGCCAAGACTTGGTTTCATAGCACAGGCCTCGCCCAGCAGACATGGTCATCGATCTTTTCAGGTAAACAAGGATAGGAACGGAAAGGAGGATCCGGTAGTGGAAGCTGCACTGAACCGAGAAAGGAAGCTAAACTTTCAGAGCCCGAAGGGCCCATCCAGCAGGCCGATTGATATTTACACCTTTAGCCGTGAGCATGCAACGACACCACCGCAGTGGAACTTCAGCAAGAGGCTTGGTTTCCCTTTTGAGACTTTGAATCCCTTTCCCTTCATCATCTCTTCAGTTCGTATGTTAGCTTTAAGTTAGGACATGCTTCCTGCGCTGTTAATCCTCAAAACTGGTCCTCATTCTCTGATGCATAAGTTACTGCGATCAAGACAATGTGCTCTCATTTGCCATGAATTATTACATTGAAATTTGGCTTCACTTCTGCCCCACAATGCGTTGCGCGCCGGATGATAGAATCGCACGCTCCTTTTAAGAGTCCACTCTTTTTTTNTTTTTTTCTTATAAAAAATATGAGAATCCGAGGAAGAAAGGGCTCAGTATTATGCTTCACAGATGGCGTATCAAGAAAGAGAAAGGAACAGCTCACCACAGGAAGATTGCCATTCTTCTTTTCATGTCCTGATCCCGGAGGCGACTCTCCGCTAGTTGTCATTACCTGAAACATCATAAGTTTCAGAAAGTACCGTCTATCATTCATATACCATAATAATGATGAAGAAAAACAAGCGCAGAAAGAGATATTTTGAAAATATGTTCCACAGTTTTGAAACGAAATTCAGCTAAGAAAGATGATACATAGAAGTGCATCGAGCGATAGCAGCGGCGAAGCTAGCCAGAAAGTATTCTCACAATGAAGGGCTTAACGGAAGTATATTTTTACCTCAAATAGTCACTATCGAAAATCGGAAGCAAAAATACAAAGTTTTTCGAAATATACAAAGATTCGAATCTATGGTTTTTTCTGTGGTCTGGCGGATCATCTCCATAGTGTACGCTGTACGGCAAGGCGATCAATGCTTAGCGACGCCGCCACAGGAAACCGTACTTTTTTCCCCTCTTGAGTTACTGCTGAGTTTTCATGATACTGAGAGTATCACATTCGAAAAACCACTTCGAAAGAGTTAATCAAAAATGAGGACAAAAACAGCACACTTAATTAATAATTACTTTCCAATTGTTGCAATGAAAAGAGCTGTGGAGAAGCAACCCTCCTCAACTGTTAATCCTGAAAGGATAAGTGAGGGTGCGAGGTTAGGACACGAAAATTTAATGGTTCTACAAGACGGATTCCGCTTGCCGGCATAATGTCGAAGTCGTATTTTGAAATACGCATGTTGTTATTTTGTGATATGACACATAACCAGAACAGGATAGGGGAAGGTGGAGCTGTGCTTGATCTGAAGTTCAGGTACACCTTCCATAAATTCTCCTACGCAGAAAAGATCAGGGAACTTCTCGATTCCCGATGCCGCATGGATTCTGTGCAATGTCAAATCATGTTAAAAACTGCCCTAAATAATTAAAATGGACTACTTTAGTGAATTTCACAATCCACAGTGAGAACTCCACAAGCTCTAAGCTCGTAAAAGTAATTAGGTGATGGTAAAACAAGATAATTTTACAGTAAAGGCACCCACCCATGAACCACTTAAAAACTGCTTCTCAAAGAGGGTCAAAATTTCTGGAGAAATAGGAGGAAACAGCGCAGTAATGCCTCTAATCCGAGTTTCTCTATTTTTCTCCTGCCTAATGATTTCTGCATTAGTTCTCTTCCATAAAGTGTACCACAAACAAGAAATACTTATTGGCGCAACTCAACTTTTTACAAACCTCTTTGAAAGGACATAGTCCTTCCTCGAGCTCAAAGATTGCCTCGACTTCTTTGTTTTGAACCTCGGAAATTCGGAAAACCGATGAAATACCAATGCACTTTTTGAATGAAAAGAGTTGTTTACTTGGAATTACGCTCATCTAGGAAATGATGTCGTTCACCTAGATATAAGTAGACATTCCGGAGAAGTGAGTCAATGCAGAGGAACGATACATTGCTTGGGTTGAACAGCATTTTGGCCTATGAGTCTTAAAATACAGCCTAGAAAAAGGTGTTCAAAAAGAATTGGTCAAAAAGCATACACACGTCTTGAAATTTCCAGCTATAGTCAAGTTCCTCTGAGACATGACGTGCTTGAGGTCACTGGGAAATGCCATTATCCTTCGAACATAAGACATAATGCGTGCAACGACAAAGGGTTCAAGTGAGTGCGAGGGTGAGGCAAGAGACGAGAGATAAAGGCATGACAGGTTTTGAGAGGTTGAATGTTGAACACGCTTCCGCACTTATTTTCGGCAAATGACCCACTCCGACTAAATACTTCAACCGACGATACTAGCTATATTTTACCTAGTGAAGATTCTGGTTTACTATTCATTTACAAGAGCTTGTTCTCTATCAAGAGAAAAGAAGGGATGGTTCTATTTTACCGAAACTATTGGAAGAAGGTATGACGTTTCTCTTCATAGTGAGGGGTCCTGTGACCTAGAACAGTTATAGCGAAGTGCTTAGCAATGCATGTTCAATTCAGCACCCAGAAAAGGCTATAAGTTCGGAACTTTCCGAATGAAAATACGAACCCTACAAAACGCGACCGATCCCTTGCTCAACGAAAATTATACATTGGTGACGATACCAGCGTCAGGCCCAGATTGACAAGCCGGCTGATAGAGAATCCAGTAGCAATAAGTATTCTAAAAGTTGCATACAATTTAAAAATAATACTGTCGCCGCCCAGAACCAGTGGCCAGAGTTCTTTGATCAATATGCGGGGAGCGAGGAACGACCACGGCCAACAAGGCAGGTACGACAAGGGTTCGAATCGGGTGTGGTGTGGTGCAGTAGGAACGAAATTGTCGCGTCGCGGCAGGAGGGCGCCGCGGGCGAAGGAATATAGCAGAATGCAGTAGAAGTTAAAAAATACGGGAAAAAAGGAACTATCAGTAGGATCATGCCTAAAATAAGGATCGCATATCGATTGAGCTGAATGATGAACACTATAGCTGTAATAACGGCGAACGAATGGCCCGCGACAGCCGCGTGCGGCGAATAGATTACAGAAAACCGTTGCTATCGCCCGTCTCCCGTTCGGATCGCTTACCCCCGTCCTGAGATGTAGCTCAGCGTTAAGAAGGTGTGCGATTCACGCGTAACCCCATCGGAGCTCTTCGCGCACGCACGCGACGTACCAGCAGCAGATTACGTAGCTGTTTCGATGCGATCGCTTCAGTACCCTTTAGTTGAGATAAACCAAATGAGATGTGCACTAGTACATGGCTTCTCCATGAAGTAGTGCACATCCCTTCACTTTGGCCCCTTCGAGATTAAGGACTCACTTCATAAGTCAACAATTCACTTGTCAAACGTTCGAAAAAGGAAGACTCCAAGATGTTCGATTTGAATGAACGCGGTCCTTTCTGTAACCGTGCGGAGTTGATCTTTTTCTTATTTGTCTTTCATAAGTTCCCGTTTCTCCCATTATGATGGTAAGCATGATGCTATAGCGCGTCTCGTCCACAACATCGTGCCGCCGTAGGCTCCGCCCTTCACGCGAAATGACCTCATTATATTGACGCGTGGATCGCACCACGCTCAAATGAGCCTTCATGCTGACATCAGTCAATGCGCACTCCTGGATGGAAATCAACACAGGTTTAAAGAAGGTTCAAGAAGACGGAAGAGGATTAGCCAGAAACAATAATGTACGGAAGGTTCGTGACAATGCTATGACATAACAATCCGCTGCACTTTCATCGCAAAAAGAGACACTAGGAAGGTAACGGTAGCGGAGGGAAACGCGAAAATCTACGGTAAAAAATAATCCTAAAAACTCCAAAAGGATATCAAAGTACCGCTTTGCGAAGAATTAACTCCGCAGCATTCATCTCTCGTAGCAGACATAACCAACGATCTGCCCAAAACTCGCCTTGTGACCCACCATTACCCGCTGTCGGGTTAATTGAAAGATCGTGGTAGCGTAGGGCGTGAATCTGGCTGGCTCGGACTCCTGCGGTTTGTTTTATGGGTAGAGTTGAAGACCCAATTTTGGAACGTCATCCTTTGATGTACTGCAGATATATCGACGTCTGCTTCATCGCGACGTCTACAGTGTTCGAAATGGACGAGTGTTTTCGACTTATGAATGAACAGTCACATACATTGAACTCACACGAGAGATACCACATAACGGTTGGCTCCTTCATCTTAACATACAAGTCAAAGTGTGCAGCGGCGTTGTTAGTGTAAAGTGTAACAGTAGAGCTAGTTCGAAAAATATCCTAATTTACGCTACATCAGCTCATCCACAAGCCGTCAAACGTGCAGTCGTCGTCAACATGCTGAGAACAGCAACAAAAACGGGTCTTCGCGCATTACAAATCACCACTTGTCTTCCTTTCATTCATAAAGTCACCACTACAATACATTTCCAGAGCTGACCTGCAAGATGTTGTCCAGTTGGTGAATATACCCAACAGCAACATCAAGCAACAGTTGGTTCAAAACCGGTCCTTCGATAAACAGTGGTTGACAAACGACTGCTTATCGAAGGTCCTACGTGGAAGCATGTGGTTGCTTCGTCCATAACTGCTGCTCTTATCGCTTTCAGATCTTTTATCGATTCTCTGCATAGCTCCGCAAGTTTAAACGTCTGTTGATGGCTGTCTGTAGGTCGCGTGATTCCACGCTAGCATATCAGCTCAAGAGTTTTCGAAGAGAGACGTAGCTCGGCTACTTGTAGACTCTCCGTCTTCTCAGCACTATTGTGAAGATAATCGACGAGCCGGTTGCATTCTTCATTGATGTTCCCGATGACGGAATCTTTTCAGAACGTCGCAAGGAAGTGTTCCCAGTTGATGAAGATCTTCAAGCTTAGTTTGCTGAACCTCGCACCACTTTCTCTACACATAGAAAAGCGGAATCTAGCGCAAAGGAGACGTGGTCCGAACCCGTGTAAAACTTCAACAGCTGCCCACCAGGTGACTCACTCCATGTCCATCGCAAATGAGAGGGTCTCTGAAATTACCAATGTGATGCTTCGGCCATTATTCTGAGGACATTTTTGACATATGAGTGCACACGAATAGCCTGCACGCTGAGTCGTGGGGTATGGTTTGATCCGGGTAGCTAGACTATCCTGGAGTGGACCCCGGTGACCTCGATTTTAGAGGCGGCCCCGAATCGCCTCCCGGATACTCCCCAGCCCCTCGAATGCAAGCGCTTCGCTGGGCCGATGGGCAGATACCAATCACACCCTCAGGCTCCCCACACACGTATGCATGGATACACCTGTGAAATATAGGTGTACCAAACCAGCACAGCAGAAAAAGGAAGTCAATCTCCTAAATCGACATGCGTTTCTGGGCAAGAATCGGCGAGTTTTGATCGGTGATTTGCTTCCCTATCTGCCCTTTGGAGACGCCCTACATAGCCTCGTCATCTACAGGCTAGAGATGCCCGATTAGTACCTTGAGGCGCTGCGGAAAACGTTCTGAGACACCTCCCTGGTCAATACATTTACGATAGGTCCATGAGAACTATACGCTTTTTTCGCGGTAACGAAAGCATTAGACGCCACCGTTGCTATACAGTAAAAAATGTATTGAGCCATTACG